TGAAGTCTAGTCAAATATCCGTTAACAGTGAATAGGTACCGTATGTGGTACAGGTTGAAGCGCTCATTCATTATTCACTTCATATTAGTTTGAAAAAACACACAGTTACCGCATTCTGAAACGATACCAACGCCATCTATTGGTAGGGATTGGAACTTGAAGATTAACATAAAATAGTATTTCCTTTGGTTTTGCCATTTTATTCATTTGTAAAAAAATATATTTGGTTTGGTTGTTTATTTTCATTGTTTTTTAATTTTTAAATTAGTATTTTTTGTTGTAATTTTGTGCAAATTTTTTGTACAAATCTTCTTGTCGATTTTGTTTTATGTTTTTGTGTAATAAAAGCATATTCTATTCTATTCCAATAAATTAAGTTTAAAATATTTATCAATATCATTTACGTTATATACGACGCAAAAACCTTAAAATAACACGCAAGTCACCCATAATGATTTTTACATACAAACATATATCCATCGATCCTTCCATCCATGTTGGTTTCAAACCATAATCTCAAATGATCATAAAATCATAAAATCATAAAATGTCCCGAAAAACCATAAATTGACACCCATATTGACATCTCAGCCACATCTCACCCCCACAGGGGATGATGGTAGGTATCCCTTCTCCTACGTTGGATTTTGAAGTAGTTGTTGTTTTCGTAATCAGAGACCCGATAAACCATAAAAACGATACCCATGTTGATTTTCAGAATTTGTCACCCCTTTTTTCACCTTTTAAGGGCTGAATTCTGAAAGAGCCTGAAACACTTGTTTACTCATTTATTGATAGGAGTACTCCTGCGAAGTTTCGAATAAAATTGTATAAATAATCTTGTTTCCACATACAAACTTTCAACCCCTTTTTCACCCCTTAGGGGTTGAATTTTCAAAAACTTTAGGACAAGTAATTAATTGTTTCTAATTATTAACTTAAAAAATAAAGTTTCAGGCTTCTAGCTCTAAAAATGACGGACTTCCATATAAATATTTAACCCTTTTTTCACCCCTTTATGGGGTGAATTTTCAAAAATCCTTTCTTAGCGGATGCATACGTCAAGATAACTGTCTGTACGCTAAATTTCAGCGAAATTCGTTCAGTAATTTCGGCTGTGCATTGATAGATGAGTCAGTCAAGTTTGCCTTTTTTTAAATATGTATAGATATCGAAGTAATACGGTATTGTATTTGTACCTTTGGGCACATAATAAATTATAATACTACGTACTTTAGGCGCGGTATTTTCATCAAAAATATTATTGATGTTAGTCACTCCCGATACAGTTATACTCGATTGCATCCGAGAAAAATAATATGGAATTGTTCATTTTTGATATATGGAGCTGCTTGATTTATCAGATAATAATACGGATTTATTATTACAGCGTTATATTATTATATTTTCGAATTGCTTGATCAAGTGTTAATTTCAAACTCAAACTCAAACTCAAACATTTTATTGCGTTCATGTGGTTACATAAATAGTTTTTAAGTTGGATATATTAGAGTCAAACATGAGCCCTGATAGGGCGTAGCAATATTATATTATATTATGTTATATATCTATTTATTCTTATCAATTTAGAAAGACTAATTTTATTTTATTTAATTAAACCACTTACTTAAACTACTACATTACTTTTAGGTTTAATAAACATTTGCAATATTTACAACGATATTAAAGAGGTATACATATTCAAAATAAACAATTATTATTTTTCACCGAAAAACTCTGACAACGAATAGAAACTTTTTTCAATTAAATATTTTTAAGCTCTCTTTGAAATTTATACGATTCTTCTTTTTGTAGACATTTGGGAATTTTATTATAAAGTTTTACACACATACCATGGGGTCCTGATTAAACTGTTTGTAATTTTGTGATAGGTGGAGCTAATTTTATACTAGGACGTAAAAAATGAGGCCGGGAGTATATTGAAAAAAGGTGCATATTCTTTTTAACAAATGTGCATACTTCTAGTATATATATATATAGATGTAATTGTTAATATTTTTAATGAAATAAAGTAGTGTTTACAGCTGTCAGTGCTATCTATGTTTGTAATTATTAGGATACATTTTTTTGTAAAATAAACAATTTATTTACGTCTGTGCTGTTTCCCCACAGTAAAATGCCGTACTTGAGCCATGCATGGGCATAAGCATAGTATGCACACGTGGCTGTTCTTGAATCTGTAACTTTTTTAAGTTCGTATAGTGCATACGGGAAACGGGAAAGTTTAGATGATACTTTCTTTATGTGTTCTTTCCAATATATACTTGAATCTATGTTTATACATAATAATGTATATGAATCAACACATTCTAGTTTAATATCGTTGTAAGAATAATTTATAGATAGGGGGCATTTTTGATACAGCTTAAATTGTATTATCTTAGTTTTTTAGTTTTTGTGTAATTTATGACGAGATTATGATTTTTTAACCATTTAGAGATATCTGTAAGTACACTGTTTAGACAGTTGTTAAGATTGTTATTAGTATTATTGTCGAAAGGTATGACTACAGAAAGATCGTCGGCAAACAAGGTACAGGGGGCTTTGACTATTTTCGGCAAATCATTAATATAAATTAAAAATAATAAACAACCGAGAACACTACCCTGTGGTATTGATTTAGTGACCGGTGCAAATTGAGACCTGACTTTAATCACATTTCCACTGGCTAGGTTATGGTGTTCTATCTCCACTCACTGCTTTCGATTGGTCAGGTATGATTCGAACCAGTTGTATGTTGGGCCTCTTACTCCTATTCCGTGTAACTTCCGTAAAAGTATGTTAAATCGAACTAGATCATAGGCTTTGGTCATGTCCAGTAAAATACCGATCGCGTATTTCTTTTTATTAAATAAATTAAATATTTCATTGACATATTTGTATAAAGCTGTATAAAGTTTTTGATCTGTTTTTGCGAAAGCCATATTGACTGTCATTTAATATATTGAACTTTTCGCAGTAACAGTATAGTCTACTAGCCATAACGGATTCAAATATTTTTGAAAACGTTGGAAGAATAGAAATAGGGATAGTTGTTACAGTCAGTTTTAGAGCCTTTTTTTATAGAGTGGTTTAATTATTGAAATTTTTAGTTGGTTTAGAACTTTACTTTCTGTAAACGATTGATTTATCAGGAATGTCATAACTGGGGCTAGTTCTTCGGCGCATTTCCTAATTAGACAAGGCGGTAAGTCATCATGACCGAAGCTACGCTTGTTTTTTAAATTACGTATACATTTTATAATTTCTTGATTAGTAGCGGGTTGTAAAAAGAATGAATTCTTTACGGGATGAAGGACAGGCTGAACGATTGCACCTGTTGTGCCAAAAGTATTGTTATCATTACCAACCGACAAAAAGAAATTATTGAAACACTCAACTATTTGAACAGGGTCCGCAGTGATACTATTTTGGACATTCTGTTCTATGTTCTTTTTATTTTGTGTAAGCTTATTAGTTTGTTCCTTTACAACATTCCAAATTGATTTTATTACATTATCAGAATTCTTTATTCTTTTGATATTATAGTTCTTTTTTGAAATATTTACAGTTTTTTTTAAGTATTTTTGAGTAATTTTTATAATACTTGTTTAGTACTGGATTTTTTGTTTGAGATGATAATTTTTTTAAGAGTCTTTTATTTTTGCACGATGTTTTGATTCCATTGGTAAGCCATGACTTTTTCTTTATGCTTCTTTGATCAATTTATTACTATTTTTTAGAAATAACAATTGCACACGTTATTTGACCGACACTTTACACATTTCTTATGCTAGATACACTTAACAATCACTTTTACTAATTAAATTTATCAAAAATATGGGAGCTAATGTTTATTATATTTGTATTTGTCAATTACTGAATTTATTGATTTACACATAGAATATAAATTATTGGGCATACAATTCACGAAACGACAGTTTTCAAATTTATTATAAATATTTTCTAAAATATTATTTAAATCTTTAATACATATGTACTTATTTTTGAATAAACTTAAGGCTAGTATACTATTTGTCTTGTGCCAGTAATGTGATCATTGTAGAATTATTAATTCTTACAAAATTACGAATTATGTTCTCGTAATCCTGGTACATCCAGGTAACTTCTTTACTTCCGGTCAAATCGGAGGTGGATAGTGCGGTCCAATTGTCGACGAGATGCAGATGCCAAGAGTTGCCTTATAGTCTGCGTTGATTTCAGGAGAAGGCAATTATCTATGAGTGTGCCTTGAAGTTGAGGCGAGCAATAAGGCTGAGAACCGTGCCAAATATTGTTGCACAGAAAGTAGCTCAAAAATGAACAGAAATCAATTTTACAATGTTGTAAAGAACCTTTAGAAATAAGGCTGAATTTCAGTCGATGAAGACTGCAGACGATATTTGCTCAGAAGTGAATGAAAGCTTCTTAAAGAAGATTATAAAAGCTTGAAGTCAAAATTTCTGAAGGTTGCAAATTGTGTGTTCACATCACGTCGGGCTCACCATTCTGGCCGTGGAAGGAAAAGGGAGATCGCCTGCTGGGCAAAATTTATCTCAGGGAGCGGTTAACGCTCTATGTGGTAAAGGGAAGCTGTTATATATACCGTAGTAGTTCGGGAATTCCGTTATCACGATTTAGGCTTTGGTATGTTGCGTTTGTGGCACAAAGTTGGCGTTAGCACAATTAATAAATCACAGTATTTTAACTTCAAATACCGGGACGTAAGTGCAGATACACAAAACATATCTATCTACGTATCGACTTTACGGGAAAAGAAAATACTTAAAACTTTCGCAATTAGGAAATTACTGTAAACATATAATAATATAAGCAATTAAAAATAAAATGATTGCTTTTAAAAAAGAAGTTGCTCACAAATTAATATTTAATGAATGATTATTTTATTAATATTGGTTTTATTGTTAATTCAAACTTTGTTGATTCACGCCGATTATAACAACACACTAGATACAAATAATATGATACTTGTAATCTTTTTATCGACGATGAAATGGTAGAAATCGGCCGATATTTTGCGCTCCTTTCTTAATTTCTCCAAATAGTCCGTTACCAAAATCGTGCATTTCCTCAAAAATTTTCATTGCTTCTTTAGTCAGAGGCGGAACAAAAGAAGGGTTCTCAACTCCTGAAAAGTATAGATAACCAATATTATTATACTAAATAAAGGTATTTCACTTATTGTTCATCATCTATGTTGGCCCAGAAATGTTCTTGCCTGGACCTCCCCTGAGGATTTACTATAATCACCGCAGTAAGCGCTGCAGAATCAAACATTTTACACCTTTGATGCTGTTCCTCGTCATCTGCCTGGGTATTTTACGTCTAGCATGAATAGAATGAGTAATTCGACTTCAATTGGAAGTCAAGGGATCTTTACGGCATTTCCCCTATCCGTCTCTTACGATATCCACAGTACAAAATGAATTTTCTTTGCGCTAACACAACTTTGCACTTTTACTTATAAACTATAAAAAACATATTTCGTGTCTTTAGGATCAGTAAAAATACACGATCACTTATCTTTGCCGTTTTCAAATTGATTGAGAGGAAATATTTTCTTAGTTAAAATTTTATGAGAACTATTATTATTTGATATTACATTTAATCATCATTGCTTAATATTTGGACGTTCTCAAAGCTTGTATAAAAAAGAGGAGATTGTATTAAAAAAAGCACTAACAAAAGCTCTAACTAACAGTCATGAAGTAAAATCTAACTTCGATGGAGCGATCAGTCGACGGGTTCAACTATTTCGTCACATATTTCTGCTTTCAAACTTGAAAACAAGATTGTTCTCATACAACAAAAATATTGGGTTTTTCAAGTGATGAAATATACAAGTAGATCTAAGAAGTGGTCTTTACAGTTACTTGTATAAGAAAACTCAAGGTTGCTCAGCGAGCAATGGAGAGGGCTAAGCTCGAAGTTTCTCGGCACGGTAGACTTAGAAATAAAGATATCAGCTGTAGAACCAGATTATCTGACATAGCCCAACGGAGTAGTAGGCAGAATTAGATATGGGCCAACGATATAGCTCGAAGAATCGAAAAACGACGGGGAAAAAGGTTCTCGAGTGGCAGATTCGTACCCGTAAGCGTGTGAACGATACATAACTTAATGGAGTCATCATCACATTGAATTACAACTCAACTGCATTCATCACGCATTCTTTAAATCTCTGTAACAGATTTTAAATATCTCCTTTTTACTCGTATTTGCCTTTTATTATCTGTGGCATGCAGATACGCATATACCCACTTATATTATTTACTAGGTAATAAGCAATGACAAAAATCGTTTACGTACTAAGCAAATGCATTGAAACTTGCAATTCATATCTTCATTTAGAGCTTACCTTTATTATTCCGACTTAAATTTGTGTTTAAATCAAACCTGGCTAGATTTTTTAATCCTTTGGTAATCCATAAATAAATTTCTTCCTTTGAATCAAGTTGACTAGCATCGCTGTGTTTAAGTGTCAATAGAATTCTGTTTTTATCCACAAATTAGACATGGGGATCAACATTTAATACTTACTTGCTTGCGGAATATTTTCTGTTTCTTGGTTTAGTAATTCGTCTAGTAAAACATTTTGAAAACAGTTGTAGAGAACCTAAAAACCAGTTATAATTAGTATTTTATAAACCTGTATAGCATATTTACACTTATTTTAAATTCAAATATTTAAACTAACTGCAGCACATAACACGAATGCAATCATGTTTTGAACTATAATTTATTGTATGAATACCGATACGACTTACGATGCAAATTTAAACGACTCTCGATTTTCTGCTCTTAAAATGATTGGTCAAGCGGGTAATTGATTATTATTTGGTACAATTTAAAGTTAATATTCGTTTAAACAATCACATTGGCTTTAATGTTTTGAGATATTACTACATAGCAATAATGGAAAATTAGATTTTAATAACACGCAAATATAATAACACTATTTATTACTTACTTATATGAGCACGTTTACACGCTTACCCTCTATTGTTAACGCGATAGCTGATTATGTGATCGTGGGTCGAATCCCAGGTGGGGCCACATATCAATTATTGGGTTTTCCGGTCGTGTCACTTTGCCGTACCATCGACTATGAGAATCGGAGAATAAAGTGCACCTGTGCTTGCGTATACACTCGGGCAATATAATTCTGTCGTGAACAGATGGCTAGTCTCCGTTTAGACTGTTCGCCGTGACCGAAATTCGGTCTGAACAGGACTGGCCAAAACGTCATTATTATATACCGCACAATAAATGGCAAATTCTCGTCAGGGATCTGCGTGCCTGAAATATGCAGAAAGCCTTTTCTTGTTTCTGAGAAGATTTTGAAACAGATGTAGTAGCGTTCATAATGCTGCGCCAGTACTCGGGCTCCAAACCACAAATTTTTTAAATTAAAAAAAAATACAGAAATGCTAATTTCCCCACAATTAACGGCTCTGTAATGCAGTGGCTAAGCGATTGGTCGCGATGCTGTCGACCCGGGAGTTTAAATCCCGCAAAGAACAAGTGATTGTACGGCCTACAAATGATTGGTCTCGGTCTGGATGTGTGTAATAAATGTGCCCATAATAAAAGAGAAAATTTTACGACTTGGCCTTGTTTCTTCACTTGTCGGTCGTGGTCATTAAAACCTGTTCAGCCATTCCAATTATCAGACCAAAAAGACAGGAAAATTTTACGGCGTGGTTAATGTTTCTTGTAGTGTTATGCTATTTACATATCATTTTACACTATTTTAAATTTATTTTTCCATTCTGTTTTTGATTTTCTGCATTCACCTCAAAACTGGATATTTTGCACCACCTTTATTTCCATAGGATTCTGTAACGTTTTTAAACCATAAGAACACAATAACAAATCATTTTCACTTCGTATTTTCACGCTATCAGCACTTTTTAAATCAGTGTCGATGGAGTTTACCTTTTTCGATCTTTTATTTAGTTCTCCGTAACTCAGCAATTTCGGGCTTCGTGCACGCTGTTTCGCTACTTTTTTTCTATACCAATAATGTCTAATTTTTCACTTAAATCTTGCCGTTTCTCTATTACGAGCCTGAAACCAAAATTTGACATGTTTTGACATCGTTGTTTACCTGATTGTCATGGCAATTTTTATTCAAATTCGTTACCGGTCCGATGTTTTTACTTCAAAACTTCCACAAAAATACTCTTTTCTTCTTGGCCATTTATAAAAATTTGATTTTAATTTAAATAATTTCCCGTTCTTATTTCAGATCCGTCGTCGAGCGCGGAGCTCTCTAAAAAAAGTATAAAAGCCGAACAATCGGCCAATAAAGTCAGTCTCGCTTCAGCTTTCAAACTAGAAGCACCTCCTAAAGGCCTTATCCCGGGGCTGTACTGCCCCGGGATTCTGCAAGCCTTTGCCTTTACCTGAAGTCGTCGCTTAGCCACGCCTACGCCTCCACCTACTAGTGCCCGCGCTATCTTTAGCCGCTGTGCGTGCTTGCTCCAGGCGCTGCGAGCGCCTACTTCAGGCGCTGCGTGTGCCTACTCCGGACGCTGCGTGTGCCTACTCCAAGCGCTGCGTGTGCCTTCTCCAGACGCTGCGTGTGCCTAGATCAGGCGCTGCGCACCTACCACGGGCATAGCCTGTGCATACTCCGTGAGCGGTGAGCACCACTGCCAAGCGCGGTGTGCCACTTTGGTCTTCGGGCTCCGTTTCAGTACTCACTTATCTTTATTATTTTTTTTTAAAAATAAAAAAATAATTGTAATTCACGTCACCCATCTTCATCTTCATATTTTTTTATATAAAACTGTAAATATCTTTTAAAATTTTAAATAAATTATTCGTTTTTGTTCTATTTTTGTTGTTTCGTTGTTGTTAGGTTAGGTTCTTTAGTTTTTAATTGTCGTTTTACGACATTTTTGCGCCCAACGTAAAAGTTCTCTTTCTCTATTAATTTTTTTTTCTCTTATCTTCACCCTTACAGCGCCTTATCCATTTCCTTTTGATTTAATTGCTTCCTCTTTCGTTCTTAACTCTTTATTTACTCATCCTTTTCATATCTTCCGAATTCTAAAACAAAACTTCATCTAGTTTTTCAACTTATCTGGATTATATTTAGACCTGCATATAACACTTCACTTACATTCATCACTTTAATATTTTTATTCTAGATAACTTAAAGAGGTACAATTTTTAATTAAATTTTTATTTCTTAAACTTAACTTTGCACTTAATTATAACAATGAAAAGGATTATTAAGTACAATAACATAAATTTTCTTAACTTTTATTAACTGTTAATTTGTATATATGTATAAATATCACCATCATTTTCACCTTATTATTTTTATTTATATTAATTATTTTGTTTGTTTGGTGATCCAGTGTTCTTCAACACATCTTGCTTTAGGACCTCGAATTTTCGTTGGTTAATCTTCACTTTTTATTTTTATTTCAGACACATCACGTTAGTGATGTTGCTGATCTCTGGCTTTGAGCCCTACCGCTCTGACCGTTCTTAACCTTTACTTAAGTCATAGCGACTAAAGCTTGCTTAAGATTAATTTCTTTATCTTTATCTTCACTTGGAAGAGGCTGACTACTCCCTTAATAAAATATTTTTATTTTTGTTCTTCCACACAGGAGCGGATGACAACTCCTTAAATAAGCCTGAATGTCCTTTCGAAAACACACTTTTAGAGTGGTAGTCATTGAATGTGAACTCCACCCTTACCTGAATGCAGATGATGAATGTAAGAGATAGTATATCTGATTTTGCCTGGTGATGTCTGTTACTGCAAAGCTGTGTTTTTACGGTTTATTTTAGAATGTACATGTCAAAATTTTTGCTGAGTCAAAAATTTTCCAGGGTCGGGGGGAAAATGTACTGTTATGCTATTTACATATCATTTTATACGATTTTAAATTTATTTTTCCATTCTGTTTTTGATTTTCTGAATTCACCTCAAAACTGGATATTTTGCATCACCTTTACTTCCATAGGATTCTGTAACGTTTTTAAACCATAAGAACACAATAACAAATCATTTTCACTTCGTATTTTCACGCTATTAGCACTTTTTAAATCGGTGTCGATGAATTTTACCTTTTTCGATCTTTTATTTAGTTTTCCGTAACTCTGCAATTTCTGTTGCGCTACTTTTTTTTCTATATCAATAATATCTCATTTTTCACTTAAATCTTGCCGTTTCTCTATTACGAGCCTGAAACCAAAATTTGACATGTTTTGACATCGTTGTTTATCTGGTTGTCATGGCAATTTTTATTCAAATTCGTTACCGGTCCGATGTTTTTACTTCAAAACTTCCACAAAATACTCTTTTCTTCTTGGCCATTTATAAAAATTTGTTTTTAATTTAAATAATTTCCCGTTCTTATCTCAGATCCGTCGTCGAGCGCGGAGCTCTCTAAAAAAAGTATAAAAGCCGAACAATCGGCCAATAAAATCAGTCTCGCTTCAGCTTTCAAACTAGAAGCACCTCCTAAAGGCCTTATCCCGGGGCTGTACTGCCCCGGGATTCTGCAAGCCTTTGCCTTCACCTGAAGTCGTCGCTTAGCCACGCCTACGCCTCCACCTACTAGTGCCCGCGCTATCTTTAGCCGCTGTGCGTGCTTGCTCCAGGCGCAGCGAGCGCCTACTTCAGGCGCTGCGTGTGCCTACTCCAGGCGATGCGTGTACCTACTCCAGGCGCTGCGTGTGCCTACTCCGGACGCTACGTATGCCTACTCCAAGCGCTGCGTGTGCCTTCTCCAGACGCTGCATGTGCCTAGATCAGGCGCTGCGCACCTACCACTGGCATAGCCTGTGCATACTCCGTGAGCGGTGAGCACCACTGCCAAGCGCGGTGTGCCAATTTGGTCTTCGGGCTCCGTTTCAGTACTCACTTATCATTATTATTTTTTTAAAAAAAATAATTGTAATTCACGTCACCCATCATCATCTTCATATTTTTTTTATATAAAACTGTAAATATATTTTAAAATTTTAAATAAATTATTCGTTTTTGTTCTATTTTTGTTGTTTCGTTGTTGTTAGGTTAGGTTCTTTAGTTTTTAATTGTCGCTTTACGACATTCTTTAGTAAGTAGTTATTTATCTCTTAATATATATAGATATAGATGAGAAAATCAATTTATTTATTTATTTTTTATTTTGTAGGATATGGTGACAAACGAGCACACATTCCACCTGATGGTAAGTGGTTGCTGTGGCCCATAGACATTTACATCTATCCTCGATTACGAATCAAAATGCAGATGCGTTGTCACCCGTGAGAACTAAGATGGAATGCCTCGTCTCCAGTAAAAAGGGTCTCCGGTTCTCTACACTCACCATACGAAATACAGCAGTATTAAGCTACCATTTCACGTTGGTATTCTGCAGGAGCATAGTCCTTCCCCGGTCGAATCGACCCAATAGTGCTACAACTATACATCTGATATAACTGCAGTATGGCTCTACCACGTATAATTTAATAATTTGCAACGATAGGTGTGAAATTAAATTTTATGTACAGCTTAATTTTTTTTAATAGGATAAGGTTGACAAACGAGCACACAGTCCACCTCATGGTAAGTTGATTCTGTGGCACGTAGACATTTACATTTATCGATTAAGAATCAAAATACAGATGCTTTGTCACCCTTGAGGATAAGATGGAATACCTCGTTTTCAGTACAAAAGGGTCTCCGGATCTCTACACTCACCATACGAAACA